TTGACACGTTCGCATAACTTAGATGTACTGCATTCAAAGACTCTGTCCAGGATGCTGAGATTTTTTTGTTTTTGTTTTCAGAAAGCAAGGGTTGCATTTGATAAATTAGTAAGCAGAGTTGGGTCAAGTATGAGCCTTACCATCAAGACTATAGTAAGTATGTCTTATCTGCTGTACTCTTCCGAATAATGGACAACATAATGGAGGCATCTGTCTATATTTCTGAAATGAGGTATTCTGTACATTATTTACATTATTCGGACAATTGTCCTAAACTTTGTTGCCATATTTATTACAACGTTTCGGCCTTTCAGTATCTGTCTATATTTCTGAGATGAGGTATTATCTACACTATTTACATTATTTTGAGTATTGTCCTCATCTTTGTCACCATATTTATTACAACGTTTCGGCCCTTCAGTATCTGTATATATTTCTGAGAAGAGGTATTATGTACACTATTTAAATATTCGGACACTTGTCCTCATCTTTGTCGCCATATTTATTACAACGTTCCTGCCGTTCAGTATGTGTCTATATTTCTGAGATGAGGTATTATCTACACTATTTTCATTATTTTGAGTATTGTCCTCATCTTTGTCGCCATATTTATTACAACGTTTCGGCACTTCAGTATCTCTATATTTCTGAGATAAGGCAATATATATACTATTTACAATATTCGGACTATTGTTCTCATATCTCTTGCCATATTTATTACAACGTTTCGGCCTTTAAGTTTGTGTCTATATTTCTGAGATGAGGTATTATGTACACTATTTACATTATTCGGACGAATGTCCTCATCTTTGTTGCCATATTCATTACAACGTTCCGTCCGTTCAGTATCTGTTAATATATTTCTGAGATGAGGTATTATGACACTATTTACATTATCGGACTATTGTACACTTATTTGTTGCCATATTTATTACAACGCTCCGGCCACTCAATATCTGTCTATATTTCTGAGATGAGGTATTATGTACACTATTTACATTATTCGGATTATTGTCCTAATGTTTGTTGCCATATTTATTACAACGTTTCAGCCCCTCAGTATCTGTCTATATTTCTGAGATGAGGTATTATGTACAATATTTACATTATTTGGACTATTGCCCTCATCTTTGTCACCATATTTATTACAACGTTTCGGCCTTTCAGTATCTGTCTATATTTCTGAATGTATAAACATAAAAATGTCTTAAAATAATTGTCGGAAGAAATAAATTGAATAAACATATATTTTTTCTTTTCTCAATAATTTTGTAGTTTTTAAACTTAATAGTGATTAAATTTGGATTTTAAAATTTTATATTTATGCTGGTAATATTTTTTTTTCAAAAATGTATTGCTGGCACTATGTTTTTTTTCAAAAATGTCTTGATGGTAATATTTTTTACTTCAAAAATGTATTGCTGAATTTTTTCCTTCAGAAATATATTGCTGGCAAGATTTTTTCCTACAAAAATGTATTGCTGGTAATGTTTGGTTTTTTTGTTTTTTCAAAAATGTCTTGATGGTAATATTTCTTCCTTCAAAAATACATTGCTGGTAATATTTTTTTCCTTCAAAAATGTCTTGCTGGTAATATTTTTTTCCTTCAAAAATGTCTTGATGTTAATATTTTTTTCCTTCAATAATGTCTCGATGGTAATATTTTTCCTTCAAAAATATATTGCTGGTAATATTTTTTTTTCTTGAAAAATGTATTGCTGGTAATATTTTTTTTTTTCAAAAATGTCTTGATGGTAATATTTTTTCTTTCAAAAATGTCTTGATGGTAATATTTTTTCCTTCAAAAATATATTGCTGGTAATATTTTTTCCTTCAAAAATGTCTTGCTGGTAATATTTTTTTCCTTCAAAAATGTCTTTATTAAACTATTTGCCCATTGGTGGGACCATAACAAGTGTTACTACCACGGGTCAGAGTGGACCTGGGAACACCAGCAATTAAGAGGTGGCTCCAAGCTCCTCAAAACCACCTGATCAAATACCTTGCTGTTGGACGTAGTTTATCGTCTTACCCAGGACGCGGATGTAGTTAACAGACTTACCCAGGACGCTTTAGTCTTTGGAAGATAAATGTATAAAAACTACCGTGCCCACAATATGTATGATCAGTTTATATACTGATTACAATATAAAATTGACCCCCCCCCCATTTTATATCCACATTATAATTTCATGTTTGTTTATGACTAGGTATGAATCCACCACTTATCCCCTCCAGTTATCGATTAATTAATAACACTTGTATTAGTAATACCTGTAAATAATCTGCAAGGGGTTGGTAAACCGTAAATAAACAAATCAATCAATTTCCAGTCATGATAAGCAGTTGTACGCTAAACGCGACTCCTTGCTTTGAAAGCCCTTTAGGAATATATCTCACTCCAGACTTCAGGCAAAATTAACATATGCGATCCTTCTCCAAAGAAGCTGGAAAAATGGTCAGTTCGCTGCGCAACACCAAAAGGTATCAGACTCCTGCTGCTATGCTCTATCTTTAAAAGAATCACATCGGATATAAAAATGGAGTATTGCTGTCATATCTGTTTCGGGGTTGCCCAATCCTCACTTTCCAGCCATGACGGAGTTCGAAAGCTTTTTACACGGCCTTGTAGGTGATTAATTATTCTTAATACTACGGACTCTTTCGCACATACAAAGGATCTTAAAGCTATATGGCTATTTCCACGTCAAATGTTCAGACGAGCTCCATAGTTCCACCAGCTCAGATCTTTAGAGCAAAGACACGCCATGACACATACATAGTAGAATCTTCCTTAGTTTCTTCCGATTCCACACAGACAACATATTTCCAAGAACAGCTATTTGATCTGGGAATCAATATAATTTCAAGCGTTATCTATATTACATATGATCATAACCTGCACTTTTCCGTCTCTTACGTTTAGGGAACCCTGTTAAAGAAATGTAGAAAAACGCAATGGATTTAGTGACATATCTAAAAAAAAAGCCGAATTCTGTATTAACACCGGCTCACTGAATATTTGATTCATTTTTACGCATTCTGTAGGCTCCAAATTGGAATTTCTATATTCATATATATTAATCAATCAGCGACGTCATACGAAATGCTCAGCAGTCTTTGAATTTCCAGACAATTAATATTTGTTGCGTTACGAAATTTTGAAGGATCACTTCAGAATACGATCACCAACATTTTCCCTCAGGAAAATAAATATATAAAAATTGGGAAAATATTTATTAGCAAATAAACTAATGAGATTACTAAAATCTAATTTTTGCTTTAACTGAAGCCGATTTTTCGGTTATAAAAGCGATCAATTTTTGTTTGCTAGTTAGTTTTTCAATTAATATTTGGTTAGCAACAAGTTTAGAAGGAAAACTCTGAATTCAAACCGGGCTGAAGAGACTTGAGCTTCGTCAGTACATCTTGCCCAAAAGACGCACCACTGAGCTACAACTGCAGTAAATGTGACTCGGGATTTTGATACTTCATTAATTTTTACATTTTCGAATTTCCGGCTTTCATGAAGAACAATAATAAACAAATTATTTTGATAAACTGAATGAACGGAATTGTAATTTATTGTTAATTTAAAATATCTAAATACATTAAATGTTAATATCTCCAATTATCGAAATTTACCATTTATGTAATTAACCAATCGTTATTAATGCACGTAAACAATATTGGCAACCCCAGAAAATTATACAGTCTCTGATTAAATATTTTTTTTAAATTTGATTTATGGTGTCTATATCCACAATAATACACCAGGATACAATCCCAAATTGATAAATGGTTAGTGCTAAACCCCGTGTGCTCAAACGAACTTTGTGATAGCTTTTGAATATAAAGAAATACAACAATGTCTATTATATAAATATATTTAATATTCATATAGAAAAAAGAGAAATATGTAAAAAACAAAGTGCATACAGACAATGTGCGTCTGCGGACTTAGATAAAGTAAATGCGTCCTGGTATCTTGTTAACAGTCCTTGTTGTATAAGCCCGTTTCAGTCCATTTAAAGTTGGCGGTTCCTTTCTTCTGTAAACTGATATCACATAGTAGACCATTTTAATTTATTGTTTATTATTTATTACTTAAAAATCTGCTTACATTCAATTTTAATATCTTTATTTCGCAGAATTTATCATTCGTTTCATTAATGGAACGTTATTCCTGGTTGTAAGCAATGATGGTCACACCTTAATACGATACAGTTTCTTGTTTTGGGGATTTTCTTTTTAAGTATCCAATACTTTTTACCTTTTTTATCGCAACCAAATAACGAGAAAGAACCAAATATTTACTGAAAAGGCCGTAATTGTTGTTCTCGGATATTCTTTCATGATTATTTTTTTTTTTAAATGTTCGCTGTTTGTGGTTCTTCTCCAAGGTTTATTCCGAATATTTTTATCTCTCGCTTGAAATAT